AAGACTATTGTATCGTTAAAAATTATTTTTTTATTTTGTACGAACAAAATAAATATATTGAAAAATATAAAAACAATAAAAAATTATATTTCAGAAGTTAATTTAGTATCAAAAACGTAAAATATTTGAGTAGCCCAAGACATAGCCAAAGATTGCAGCGCCACAGCACTGGCGAAAATTTAAATTTGCCGACTGGAATTCTTTCGGATAATCGACGCGCTACTGTATTTGATCCTATCGGACACCTCTCTCGTTCACTGCCACGAAGCTCACCAAGCTCGTTGCTATCAGAAGCTCATTTCGTCCATCTTCACTTGAGATTCGGACTTTATACTATGAGGTGACGTCACAATTCTGAATGCGATCACTCCCCTCATTTACATACTTATTTGCTGACAATAAACTTTTTCTATTTGTCTGGCAGCCTATTTTCCGACAATACTCGCTAACCTTTTACATTATTCTTTTTGACAATTTTCGGGATGTTTTTATTCTTTAAGGTTTAGCGAGTCCCTAAGTTGTGCTTGTGGGGTCTTTCCATCCCTTTCTCGGTGCGGACTTACTTTTTTCCGCTCGGGAGCGCAATTGTGCGCGAGTTTTAACTATGGCGCTTTTCTCTCATTGGTGAGTTAGTTTCTCTTCTATTTTTAAGTTTCTAAGGTGAATAGTGAGGAAACCTTCGTTTTAACAAAACATAAGCCCCAAACAAAAATAGAATAATAAGCAAAAATAAAAGTAAATAAAAATAATGCTCGGACTTGGTTCCTTACAAGACTAATACTAGTAAAATTTTCGGTTAATGTGTACCTAGGTAATCCAAGATGGCGCCGCTTCGGTTAGATTAACTATATTTTTAGTAGACGTTTCCTTTTTTTTATTTTTATTTTGTTCAAGAACTACCGTGAATCAATAAGTAGTGACGTTTAGCACAAGGCGGCCTGCCGGCAGCTCCCCTCCGGGAGGAATCCGTCAGGCCCACGAACAGTCCCAAGTGCTGTCATTGGGTTAATGTGTACCTAGGTAACCTAGGTACACATTAACCATTAAATTTACAATTATTTAATTAATTAATATATAATTGTTAAATATAATTATGGAATGATAAAGTGGTTTTGATTACATATTTAAATGTAATGAACTTTGCATGAATTCAATTTCAGTTTTTTATATGGCATAGTTATATACCAAACTGTAGTAAATTTTTTCTCTCAATCATTTTTAAAATTTCAAAGAAAATCAATAATTGTTTATAATTTAGACATAAGTTATTAATATTATTCAAATTTTTTCATTAATAGAGTAGGAGACTGTTTATTGTTTATTTGCAATTTCAACCAAATCAACAGCATTTAGTTGCCATAATTCTAATTAGCACAAACAGGACAAATGAATAATTTGTTTTAAAACTTTAAAATGACTAAAAAGGGTCAAAAGTTATTGTCATGTGTCACAAAGTAACATGACTAGATAGCAAAATTAAACATTAACCTTGCTTTATTTCCCAATCAAAAAGAGATAAATAGTGCTTAACCCTGACAAGTCCTAAGGAGCCGAGGCCAAAAAGATTGAGAATAGCTAGTCTAGAGTAAGCAACATTTATTATTTCTGGAGGTTCAGTGTAAAACTTAGTACATTCCTCTGCTACAGTGGTTTTTGCTGATAAACAACATCATATAAAGTTTTAATCAAAATTTTCATTGCTTTTTGTCCTTCAGCACAGAGAAATCGTATCACCACACTTTGAGTGATTTGATGTTGCCAATGTCTACAGGTCATAATCCTTCTGCACTAATTCACAAATATGGTTATCAACTAAAATATTAGTTTGTGTTTTTTAAATTTTACCTCAAAATTACTGTCTGTTTGTCTGCTCCTACAGTGTCAGTGAAGTCACTTGATCATCACAGATACCTTTTGATCATGCGTTACATTAGGACATCCTGAAAGTTTCTGTAGTTTTCATAGTGTAAGCAGGGATAAGATAAAACCCCAAAATCTTTCTGATATAGATCAAATAATTTTTTTAAGATATTTCAGTAAAAAAAAATATACTATACAAAAATTTGAGAATTTACTACATACAAAAAATGCATAATGCAAGAGATTGGAAAATCCCACAGGATATGATTTGTGGGATGTTTTCAGTTTCTGCAATAAGTAATATTGACTCCAACAATGTGTACAGTATAATGAAAGAAATAACTTTTAAGTAGACTTATAAGTTCTGCTAATTTTCTATTAAAGATAAATCTCTCTTCTTTATAGATTATTAGTATATCATTAAAGATTTATTAGTACAGAATGATGTCTTTTTATATCAATTTATATATAAAAATTGTCTGGTGTTTCTGTCCCATATAATATATAGTTAAATACATAAAATATTTGTTTGAAATTATGTCTGTGAATGTGTTAATCTAAGTTGCTATTATCTTAAAATAATTTATCAAATTTATTTTAATAGGACAGGAAGTGACTTTTCATCTGCAGCAGACATAGCAACTCTAGGAACATTATCTCCAGATAGAAGAAAACTATCACATGTTAGTTTCATTACAAATTAAATATCTAATTATATTTTAGAATTATTAAAATTAAATTATTTGTTTATAATAAATATTGTTTTAGATTAATATAGATATATTCAGTTTATCAAAATAAATAAATAGGTAGTGCTCAGTTTATCAGACACTCAAAACTTCTTTCCTCACCGGTACAGGACAATGTATTAATGTAAACACATACACCACAACCTCAGATAAGTCCAGCAACCCAATTTAAAGGTTCACAATGTTTTTGGTGTACCCCTAAGACCTTCACTGGGTAGAAGTTGTTCCAAATTGAGATGTTTGAAGAAGGCAGAAATCAAACGTAAAAATGAAAACAAAGCATAAATGCATGCTGTTTGTTTGGATAACCATTTAATAGCAAAGAATCAGATTATTTGCCAGGCCTGTCTTTGTTGTTAATACAATTACCCTTACTGTTAAGACTTAGAAATCTCTGGGGCTTCCAGATCTCCAATCTTTCCCCCTGTAAGGTCATTATTAATAAAGGCACTTGGTGTAGTAATGCTTCTGGCTTGTTGGCCATGATGTATGTGAATAGGGCAGTGGAATTCTTCCCATTATCAATGTCATATTTGTGTTTGCTCATCCTCTTCATTAGGGAGTGCTTGGTGAAACCTATGTAGACCAGTTCCCTATCAAATCTGTCATTGCATAGGGAATGTTGTATACTTCAGAGGCTCTCTGGGCATTGACAGGGTCTTTCCATTTCTAATGATTGGGAAAATAGTAGGCATTGTTTTGTAAGTGATGCGGATGCCTATTTGTTTGAATATATCAGTTATTTACAATCATACTGTACCACTAAGGTATATATTCTTCATTTAACCTTTGCTGGTTACTTCTGGTTTATCATTATTGTTGTCTTTGGGAAACCCATGTGCTTGTGCAGACCATAGCCAGACTTTTACCCTATCTACTTACCAGTGTTATGGTTGTCCAGTGGACTCATGACCTCTGTCACTACAAACTTGCCTTCAGAACACTCATTAGGAGGGCATACATGTATTGCACTGGTGCAAAGGATGCTGAGGTAGAATTGGCTTGCATCAAGATTATTGCATGGGTAAAGGCTTAATTAAGAGGTTAGCTAGAATTTTAATACATCCATCAATATTTTGGACAATGTTGATGGTAACACCAGAAATGACAAGCAAAGGTTAAATGAAGAATTTGGCTTCGTGGCTGATTTTGGGGGTTATATCTTGGGAAGGATCGCATATAGACCATCCATTTTTTTTTGACTTTTTTACTTCTATGGCCATACTTACAGCTCTAATAAGGTTTCAACTATCTCATTTAGAGCTACAATTTTACCATGCTTTGCACATCTGTTGAATGTTTTTAGTATATGTCACAGGTGATACAAATCCATGGCTGCAAGTGTATTTTATAAATTGACTAGCTTACCCGTCACACATTGCTGTGATCTCAGAAGAAAGGAAATTCAAGCAAACTCGTTATGATAAAATTAAATTTTCATTTTATCATTTTTATTGAAACTTTATTATTATTATTATTATACATTTTCATCAGGAAAACATTTCAAAGTGTCATTTCAATTCTATTTAATGGAGTGCTTGTGGATACACAATATTTTTTGTTTTTCCGTCTGATGCGTACATGAATGAATCAGAAGGTTTTCCAACGTGTGAACAGGCCACATACAGTTGTACTGTACATGTGAGAAGCACAGATTCTATAAATTTAGCTCACATACTCACAGAGATTGTTAGAAGTGCGATATTCCTCATTTTTATGTATATTTTTAAATCCTTTGTAATTTTGATTATTTAATTGCTCCTTCTTCTCTTCCTTGGCATGTTGTAAAATTTCTGATAGTTGGATAATAAACCGTTTTATTGTAATTTGTATTTTTAAATTATTTTGAGTCGATATTAAAATTTGGAAAAGGGAGAGATACCTAGATCGGTAAAATACGCGAATTTCTTCCTACAACTTCGGTTGTTGTTCGGGGTATTGTCAAGGTTTTAACGAAGCTCGAGCGAATACATAATTAGCAAAAAAAAGTTGAAATAAAGTGATTAAACAAAAATTATTATAAATATCGTAAATAACAGTTCACAAATGCATATATAGAGATATTTTTTGAAGGGGGAAATGGTCTTCACAATTTGAAATTGATCGAACACACTGTGCGCAAATGCTCGTGTAAACGCGCGCCATCTATCGTAGGATAAATGTACTTCGCGGGAGTGTATTAAAAAATTAAAAAAACTTTCCAAAGTTTCATGGCAATCGTACTATGCCACAAACCTTCGCCGGAGTATATTAAACAACTTCCCAAAGTTTCACAGCAATCGGATAAACGGTGTGGTAATGCACGAAGGACACACAGACATACATTCATTTTTATATATATAGATTTGCAGTAGAATATTGTTAAATTTTTCAATGCAAATTTTTGATGATATATTACCATCATTATTTATATTATTTATAAGTGAACTTTAGATTACTAACATCATTGCTATTTTTGAATTGTTAGAATGTCTCATCTCCAAAAACTTGTAATAATTTTATTATATAGGTTAACATTATCATTTCTCTACAGTTTCTTTTTAAAAATTTATTTCTACTTAGATATCAATATATGATGTACTTCAAGAGACAATGTTAATCTTAAATAAAATTATAATTTGATTTTCTAAATCTGTTTCTATCATACTTTTTTAATTATAAAATACTTCAAAATGTAAAAAAATTTTGACATTCTATGAATTTGTTCATATACCTAATAACTCAAAATTTTACTTGAGAAAGATTAAATATTTATTTAAAACATTTTGCTGAATTAACTTTCAGTTATCATAAAAAAATTTGTTTAATTTTTATTGTAATGAAAAATCAATGACAGGGATTCATGTAGACTTAATCATCAGCTTTTCTTTATGAATGTCTCACTTTGTGGATTAACTGAACTTTCTCTTAAAACAAGAGTTTATTGCATTCAAAAACTGTAATCTATAAAGCAAAATTGAATGATAAAAGATATATTTAATTTCTAATTAATATAGAATAATGAATTTTATATAAATTTAATTTTTACTGACTGCTGCTTTTCAAAAAATATTTAAATAGAAATAAAAATGTTTTACAGGATAATGTTACTCTAACTGATCTTTGGTCTCAAATAAAACATCCAGTTCATGGTGTCGAATTTCAAAATCACAGGCACAGATTACGTACTTATACAAATTGTCTTGTTGGAAGTGAATTAATTGATTGGCTTATTGCACAGAGGAAGTCATCTTCAAGGTGATTATAATTTATATTTCAGCATATAATATATGAATTATTTTTTATTTTAAAATGATTTAATAACGATGATAAGTATACATTAGAATATAAAATCAATTAAAATTTTAAATATTTTGATGATATATTAATTCCAGAGCTCAAGCAGTTTTAATTGGACAAGCTCTAATTGATATGAAAATTTTGGAATGTGTAACGTCTCAAGACCAAATTTTTATAGATGGTTATTCTCTTTATAAACCAACAGAAGTAAGTAATTTAATAAATATANTATTACCTTAATTTTATTTTTCAAGAAAAAAATTTACCGGTAACTTACCGGTAAACCGGTATTTTAATTTTCATTTACCGAATTACCGGTAAATGAAAAAGTTGGTAAATTTACAGTCCCTATTTGGGATGCCAAAATTGACTGTGTGTATAATTCTAAAGTAAAAAGAATCAATAAAAGTGACAGATGTGGTGAAAGAAGTTACAACTTTACTGAAGGATCACAAGATGACACTCATCACTGAAGAACTTGAATATCTTCCCAAAATGTAGCAACAAGAAGGGGCAGAGGAAGTTTCTTCTTCAGAGGAGGGACATAATTTCAGCAGTAAAAATGATCTCCTTAATTAAGGCCATTCTGTTTCTGTTGGTCTAAAACACAGACTGTTGTTGAATGGGTTATATATATAGAAGATTGGGACATTTACTTATGTTGTTTTAACTTAAATTATGATTTTTTAGAATTAAAAGAGGCATTTTTGGGGTTTGAAAAGGGATTAATTTACTTTACATTATTCCTAATGGGAAAAGTTGCTTTAGAACTCACTCAAACACAATCTAGGAATGAATTGAATTTGAGTTCCAATGTACTACCGTAAATATATTAAATAATGTAATACAGAAATGCTGTAAAACATGTAATTTAATTTATCACATTTAGTATTTCAAACACTTAAAAAATTAAAATAGGTAATGGACTGTAAAATACTATATTATTTTTCCGACTTTTCCAACGATTATCGACATGACTGTGTGCCGGAAACAGCCGTTCCCTAACGGGTACTTTACGCGGATTCGCGTTCGTGTGCCAGGCCTGGACTTTGTCATTATTTAATTCGGTGCATGCTTAAAGTTCGTCAATAACAAATCAAATATTTAATAAATATTCTAGTAATTAAACTATATACAATATTTAGTAAAACCAAATAACAATTTATTCAATGAAAATCAATAAGAATATCGTT